AGCAGGGAGCCAAATAACCCCCTCCCCCCTCTCCCAACAGCATGGAGAAAACCCTCCAGGTCTGCCTTCCGCCTCCACAGAGGGTTCTCGGGGAAAGGAAAAATCCCAACCACCATTTTTCAAATGCAGAAAAACAAGATCGGCCCCCCCAGGGACCAAAATAAAAATCCATTTGCCTCCCACCTGGGCCATCCATCGCACACGCCCCCACCCCTTGCATTATTAAATGAACTCAAAGGGCTCTTCCTCTGTTCAAGGCTCAAGGCAACAGGGCAGTGCCAGCCGCACACAGACCTTGGTGGGGGCAGAGATTCTCTCGTCTGGGATAGACCAGGTGTAAACTGGGGCCGGGCAACGTTCAGGAGGCGCAAACCTTGGCTGCCGGAAGGGCTCCACCCTGCCCACCCTACGCCGCGGCCCCTGAAACATTCCAACCCAGGCGGAAGGTAAAACCAAGCCTTGGTGGCCAAGGAGGCTAAGCGAAGGCTCTGCTCTGGAGCTGTGCTGTGCTAGGAGAAAGGGATGGGTCACGCCAGTAGAAAGCCCATCGCCCACCACAGGGCAGGCCTCTTCGGAAGGAGAGCGCAGGAAAGGGGGCTCAGCGCAACCCATGCCTCAAACCCAGAAGCCCAGGGTAAGCTAAGCGGGGGATCCTTGTCTCACACACACACACTTTCTACCCCCAGCCACCTGCCTGGTGCATTCCTACAGACCAGGAGCTTTTTGCCCAAGGTGAAGCCTTCTCCACGCTGCTACCTGCCTCCTGAGTCTACCACTCGGACCGACAACTGGGCATGTCATCTCTGCCCTTTCCCCTCTCTCTCTCTCTCCCCCCCCACACACACACCCTGCATCACAATTCTTGCTTGCGTAGAGGGAGGAGCCGGTGGGCCCAGGGCAGTTGTGCCTCTTCAAAAGCAATCCTGGGCTTCCACAGCATCAGGACCATCCTGGTCAATCCCAGCCACGGCCAGAGAGAGAGAGAGAGGTGCCCCCCACCATGGGGCAGCCCACGGGCCAAGGAAAGACCACCCTCCTCAGACTCCCTGGTGTTGGGAAGCAAAGAAGCCGCTCCCCGCCGTCAGAGCCACCGAGACAATGGAGGGGCACGTCAGAAAACACCTTCAAAGCCGGCGTTGGTGGAAGCCTGCGAAAAACCCATCACGCCGAAGGGTGTCAAGCCGTCCCAGGCAACAAGCGAAGGCAGGGACAGGAGAGGAAGAGGAGAAACAGCCCACCAGAGAGGGGCATCAGGGCTGGCATGCACAAGGCCACGCGGCGGGCATCAGGTTGGCCAGGGGGCCCTTTGTGCCACGGACTGGGTTTCACAGAAGCCACGCCACCTCCAAGCTCACCGGGTTGGTTTGCTGTGTGACTGTCCCTTGAAGGGACGCAGACAGCCCTGCTTTCCTTTCTGGGAGGGCAGGATTTGCCCTGTAGGCTGGGCAAGAAAACGCCCGATAAATGACACCTTCCCTGGGATCACACCAGCCCAGTGCCATCCCTGGGACCCCACAATCATGGCGCCAGGGCCCGGCAGAAAGCAGGCCTGGCCTTTGCCTTTCCTCCTAGCCCCCCCCCCCATGAACTGGAGCCCTAAGAAAGCCATTTCCCAGGGGAACCCTTTGGGATCTCTTGCTCGGAGCCAGGAGCCCAATCGGAGCCCAGAAGACACCATGGGGGAGGCAGAAAGACCCTGTGAGGCCCCCAGAAGAGAGGCCAAGCCACTTGGGAGGGTGGGGATCGAACCCCCTTCTGGATTGAGACGTCTGTGTGAGATCACACCAGCCCCAGCCAGGACCAGCAAATCCTGACGTACCGAAGGCTTCTGCTGAGCTCCAGGCTTTCAGCCAAGTCTTCTGCGGGAGC